CATTATGGTTTCAAAAGAGCTATTACCTTTCTATAATGGTGTCAAATGAGCTATTACGTGTTCATAATGGTGTCAAATGAGCTATTGCGTGTCTATTATGGCGACAAATGAGCTATTACGAGTCTATAATGCTGTCAAATGAGCTATTACGTGTCTAAAATGGTGTCAAATGAGCTATTACGTGTCCATTATTGTTTCAAAAGAGCTATTACCTTTCTATAATGGTGTCAAATGAGCTATTACGTGTCTATAATGGTGTCAAATGATCTATTACGTGTCTATTATTGTTATGTAAATTAACTATTTAAATCTGTTTTTATTCTATCGAGTTATATGGAATCTTCCAAACAATACAATAAATGGTTTTCCTTGATCAGCTATTTTGTTGAAATTCTTTTTCCTATTGGTCAGTTATTTTGTGGTCACTTTTGGTGGGAATACTTTGTGACAGTTTTAGAAGATCCGGCACATACTAGACAGAAACATACATCTTTGACTTAAGTTTTCTCTATTTTGAGATGCGTCGGTAATTTCTCAAATCAAATCACCTGTGGTTTGAAGTGTTTAAAGTGTTGACCGGGTGATTAACGGTTCTAATGTTAAGTGTATTTGATTTTTGAATTGTTGTGCATTTTCTTTCACTAGACAGTATTTATGTATTCATAATAATAATTATCAATAGAATGGTTTTGACTTTTGACTTGTAGATTGATGACTTTGGTTCTTCGTGGCTTTCTGCCATACACGTGATAGATGTAATGCTAACATGTAGTTTTCTTATTATGTGTATTTTAATTGTTAAAATAAGGTTTAAGATTTATTTTCCTATTTCTTTTCGATTAATAAGATCGCTAGAATGCTTAGTAACTATTTTCAAAGATATGTAATTTCGTAAAGATAATCACTATTTATAAATTTTAATTGTCATTTATGCTGTATAATTGTTACAGCATAAACTGATGACAGAAGACAATACTTAGTTTGTTAGAATTCTGTCCATTTTCTATTTTGATGTAATGTACCGGAGAAGCGTTGTGTTAGATGTAATAATAATGATAATAACATAGAACATTTGATATAACGCCCTAGCTATCTAGTCCTATGCCACCTAGGTAATATATCCCTATGTGTGTATGCCTGTGTGTGTGCTCGAGATATAATGTGTTCTGTTTGTAGTGGGACCGTGCTTCCAACGGCATCATATAAAGTGACACTTGAATGCTACATCACAGATACCGTAACATCCACTCCAGACCAATGTATACTCCACCTGGGTTGTTGGAGTTGTGTGGGCAGGAGAAAAACACTTTCTCTAAATATCCATGCGTACGACGACTTCGGGGATCGAATCCCGGCCGTCTGCATGGAACCCCGGATTGTTTATCACTCGACCAATCGGCCCATTATGCTGGATTCCCGGATTTGTTGCAAAACCAGATAACGAAAAAGCATAACGCGTCGCTCAGGTGGCATTGTTGCTGCAATGTGATGATTTTAATTTTCGTTTTATATATTTTAATTATTTAATGACAGTTTGTGTAATGCCAAAGCGGGAAAACAATTGGATCAGTGGGATTCTAACACCCCCTAAAACTGTAGGTATGTTCACAAAGATAGGATTAACCATAACCGCTTTCACTTTTCAAGTCGACGGTTTTTTTTACTGTTGTTTGTTTGATGTCATTTAAAACGTGTTTTATCTTACTGCTACTGGCCCTAAAGACATATTACATGTATGTGTCAATTAAAATTAAATGAACAGGTACTTGCATGGATGAAGTAGTTGTTTAAATGATCACAGTATTGTTACAGTTCTTGTTTTAGACACATGTAAGGCTTGGTAGATTTCTCTCGGTATGCATTCCCATTCCAATTTAATGAAACAAAAATAAAACTTTGCAATAAATAGCCTTTCACGCACTGACACTTACACATTATACTTATTACTTACAAATGAAGGGAGACAACTTTTATAACAACACAAATTCACAGTAGAGGACGTAAAATACTTTTTGTTTGTTTCTATAATACAATTTATGTAACATTTTTATAAATCTTCAAAAACTACTGATTTTTTACACACTTATTTAACAGAAAAATTAAAACAATATGTTAAAAGCGTCATATGACTAGTAGTTAGCGCCTGATAAAGCAGCTCCTGAGATTTCCTTAAAAATTGTATAATAATGCTGATTGTTTTTATTGTGTATCTATGTACTGTAACGCGCTTTAGAGTGGCTTATGTGAGCTAGATAGGGCGCTATATCAAATGTTGTATATTATATTAATTTATCATATATCATAATATATGTAACAGTTTTGGTTAACTATGAGATATTCTTCAATTTTGTGTTGCGACGATTTTGTATAACAGGTAGGGCATCAGTATAGATGATTGAAATTGGTCATGTGTAGATGTGTGCAACGCCTTTCAGTTTCCGCCTATATTGGATGGACATAAAGGTGATGCCAAATTGGCAAGGTAGCATGGCCTTGTACATTATTTCCATCGTCGACTACACATTCCATCCAATGTATTATTTGCGGCAACAAGTGCAGTTGAGGGGCATTATGTCCACGTAACAATTAGGGTATACTAGATTGACAATTTAACACTGACATGAACGCACACAGCAATGCTTTAACAATGATGTTTATATTTAGACGTAGGGAAACAAATTTTACGTTCTTTGCGATCAAGAAAAATATCAAAATCAATTATCTGACCAACGTTAGAGTGGATAACCACCTCTTGCGTAAAGTTGTTATTAAGACATTAAAAGTATAGGAAGGCCAACTACAGTAACACACCAGGTCTTCTCACTGATGGATCAGAACCGGTACAATCACGACAGGAACTTCACATGTTAAAACATTCAGATTAACATACGCTAGTGAATGTGATGTACTGTGACGTTTGTTACTTTATTGACTAAATGACACATCAACACAAGTGATGAAGGAGGAAAACTTCATGACCCATACCCTGTCCAGGTGTCACGTATAGATAGAAAATAAATAAACAAGCTAGAAGACAGAGTTGCAAGCGCTTTCGCCAATTCAATTCAGGCAACCGGTGTTTTATTGAAATAAAAATACAAAAATCTGTGATAAAAAAAGAAGACACCCATGATGCAGAGTTTTAGATTCGCTTCACATTGCAATTTACATGTAAAGATAGAGATACAATTAAAATGTTTTGAACATTGAAGGAACGGAATTATATAATTCACATACATACAATGTATATCGATTCTGTTAGAGAGAAAAAATACATTGTATAAACATGCATCTTAGTTTCCATATTAGTTTTATTAAATAGTAATGAAGGTAAAACGAGACAACATACTCTAGTTTAACGGTAATACCGCGCTGATCGACAATGAACACGTTATCTTAAGTAATTGTGGTTTAGCATTGCTTATCAAAAACAGGCAAACTAACACTTTTATGAAGGGGTTATTGCGCAAAGTAAAACGGCATGATGATATGCTTCCATATAAATAAATGTGAGTTTGAAACACGATGTTCACAGATAAACACAAAACTAATACAGTTATTTGAATAATTGAAGGTTTCAACATATATATAAACGATGAAAGGAAAAACGTTAATTATGTCTTTGACCCATTATCATAAATGATGACTTAGATTTTGTTATTGTCAATGCACTGTCGTTCTTTCCCTGATATCATTACTTGTCTGTCTGATCTATTACTTATCTGCCCAAGTGACTATGTCGAAATTTTGAAAGGCATTTCACACACGGTGCATAAATTTACAGATCTCGTTACGTTACAATCAGCGATATGCCATCCAGCATACAGTCCTATTTCCAAGAAGACACATTCTAAGGAGACTGTATTGTAAGGTAGATAAGTGTACCACTCTGCATTCACTACTTTATCACCAGGGCCCCAGTACGATTCGTTCTCAGCAGCTCTGTAATGTGCAGCAATCCAATAACGTCTAACTCCTGTTAATGAGAGCATAATTGCTGTCAACGACGTGTAAGTAAGTGTTTAAATTTTAAAAAAGAGATAAAAATGACGTCTGTCATTAATTTGTTATTTGCTGTTCTAAGCTCGTTTTCCTTTCCTTCTGAAATTATATTTTGAAAAGAAAAAGATTGAAAACAACGAAGCATTTGTTAGTGATCTGTGAGTATGAAATTAACATTAAAGATGATTGATAAGCTCAACATATCGTTTGTTACATCAAACATCGTTTGTGTTTTGTTTATGCATGTAAAATACGGTTTGAATTTCAAGTAGCCCATCCCGCCATATTCTTTCCTCTCCCCCTCCTACCAACGCTTCTATCTTTCTTCTGTTTGTCCTTCCTTTGTATCTCAATGTGAAAACATCGTTACTATCAGTGCCAGTTATCTCCCTTAACTTGCTTACCTCTCTCTGCCATTTGTGATTTTATGAAATCATTCACCATAGCGTTGTCAATCCTTACAGGTGAGGCATTCCTCGCTTTACAGAACTCCTGTGCAGGAAAAACACCAGGACATAAAGTATAAAACCTTTGCACGCGCATTACCTTGAAAGCAGTTTAATTGTGACATTTTGATGTTAGGAGAGATATTTTACTAACAAACCGCTAGTACGCCGGTCGTTGAGAAGTGCGTGATTAGACTATGTGCATGCTAATTTCCTCCTTCACTTTTAACATTGTGAATAGATACTACTGTATTGATAGTTTAAATAATGATACTTTAATTGAAATCGTTTACATCAAAGATCGGTAATTTTGTTTCAATATCAGAGTAAGTATAGATATTTCTTTTGTAATTCTAATAAGTGAGTCTTATTGTTTTCACTACCGCGGTTTGAGAACATGACATTACAAGGAATCGTCTTAGATTTACATGGTGGGTGTCGTCGATGGCGCAGAATACGTCTATCGTTCCGGGATATAAGGCCTTCTTCTCCCTGTGCTATTTGAAGGGTAATCGTGTTAAGTAGTCCTTTGTTGATAGCTTGTCCTCACTTTATCGATTTTGAGTTCAAAAGACTATTATAATAGGTAGGAGAGACTGATATTATCAAAGGAAATAAAAAAAAAATATAATAAGGAAGTAAATAATATATAAAAGGAGCATGTTGTGAAAATGACGGATGAACATTGAATAAAGAATAAAACCACTTGCCTCACTTTCATCTCCACTTCTGGAACATCCGACAAACAAGTAACACTTGTGGTTGAAAGGTATCCAATCCTCTGAAGGACAAATACCTAAAATGTCACAGCACAGGTTATGACGTCATGCTTCACACAAGTAATTATCGCTGAATTACAGCGTGTCTAGAATATTAAATGTTTCCAAGATGTGAATTATTTTGATTCAATGAATGAGTCATCTTTGTTTATTCATTCGACAAGATTCAATTTCCTTGAAACCAAGAGAAATAACAACTAAATGAATCGATCATGTGACCTACACAATATCTTTCTTCTCGCACTGTTAAGTATAATGTTTTTGTTGGTGCAACATATCAAAGAATCGATCATTTGCAAATATAATTCGTTTTCTCAATTCATTATGTCATGATAAAGTTATAATTTTCCCACAGATGTTTACAGTGTTTGCGTGGAGGTGAATTAATTTAGTAATATGACCAGCATGTGTATTAGTTAAATGAATATGACGTACTTTGCCCGACGCATACGTGGTGTCCATTTCTCTTACTGACGCAAACTTCACTCTCTGAACAAGTGTCATGTGAACAGCTAGAGCTTTCCATCTGAAATAAGTCAGCATCAGCAAAAACATTTAGTTTTTTTCAGAAGCATCTGATTTTAGATAAAGTCTTTAAATGAATTTAGATTAATATCCTTCGAACAGCACTCCGTTAAAAATAAATCATATTTCCGTTTATTTATATTAGATATACTATATATATATAGACGATGTGCTTTCTTTAAATAACGAGAAATTGATTGACCACATATATACCCTCCTCAGCTTAAAAATCAAGGACAGTACAGACGTTTCTACTCCAGCATTACTTAATACATTACAATCAAGAACAGTACAGACGTTTCTACTCCAGCATTACTTAATACATTACAATCAAGGACAGTACAGACGTTTCTACT